AACAGAGACCTGATCGAATACCTGCAATTATCCCCATTTAAAACCCATAATAAAGTGCGACCTGACCTGTGATAACAAAGTGTAGCTACACAGCTGTTTTAGTGCCTAAGCGCAACATGCTTTATTTTTCCAGCTGCAGTAGAATACTGCCTTAATAACAGAAAGCAAGAAGGTTCCGGATTCGATTCCCAGCCCGGGGTCTTTCTGCATGGAGTTTGCATGTTCTCCCTGAGCATGTGTGGGTTCTCTCTGGGTACTCCGGCTTCCTCCCACAATTCAAAAACATGACTGTTAGGTTAATTGGCCTCTCTAAATTCTCCTTAGGTGCCAATGTGTTCAAAAACGGCTGTTTGTCTTGACTGGCAACCTGTCCAGGGTGTACCCCGCCTCTCGCCCGTAGACAGCTGGAGGCACCAGCACCCCTTGCGACCCCGCTTGGGACAAAGCGTGACAAATCTATGGATGGATGGATGGATATTCTTGAATCAATTTGTTTATTAAGATGCAGAATTAATAAATAAAAAATATATAAATAATAAGTTTCAGTCATGTTGTAACTCTGTATGATACCTGCTTGCATTTTGTTTATTTATACCCATGCCTGCATCCGTGAAATAATATGGATATTATTTCTACCACTAGCTTTAGTTTTATACGGGTTCCCACTGGATACAATTTTTTTCTGAATTGGAGTTTAAAGAAACCATTGAAAATTAGAGCGATCAAGTGTCTATCGCAAACTTGTTATCGATTTCTTAGCCCTACAAACAATCAAGTTTGGTTCTGTAAAGCGACAAAAGTGGAATGAATAATTCTGTGAAGGGCTGCAAATCAGTGATCTGGGACAGAAAAGCAGAATCAAATCAAAGTCAGGCTGTGAAATAGGGAAATGTTAACAGCTCCGTCTACTATCTAGCAGGGCAAACTGCACAGTAAAGTTTGATCTTTAACATAGGTCATGCTGACAGAAATTGTATCATCAGTACAGACTGAACCTTTCTGATAAGCTATAAATGTTGGTGAAACGGTGCTAAATTGGTCTTGAAAATGACTGCAGTGCTGTTAGGGCTCAGCTTTTAGCATTCAAAAGCACCTTTAGGTTCATCGCCACTTTGCCAGACCTGTTGCAGGACGCTGGGCTGACACATTTAACCAGGACAACTTTCACCCATAGTGGAGTGGAAAACATCATGGTTTATGCCTGATGAGTTTTTTTAAACAAACACAATTATAAAACAAATATAAATGATGCAGGACTAACAGTTATTTGCACTGCAGAAGACCCTCCTGCTGAAGAGTCCTCACTAAGGGAGCATCAACTGTTTGTGTTTGATACTTTGTGCTGTGACATTACAGAAAAGAAAAACTCCCCTGCTGCATTGCTAATGAGGCTTGAGAAGTAACGCCTGTTGGGAATGATTGTTCGTGGTAATGAGAAAGGATCATATTTATTCAGGCGGCTTCCTGGGTAATATTTTCTGTCTAAGAACAAAGTAGAGTTATGGTGTCTGGGAAGAGAACATGCCCGCATGTTGTTTTAACTAATAGTCTCTTACTGACAGTCACATGGCTTCTATATTATTATTCCTCCCCCCCACAGGTAAACATTCAAACATTTACAGAAAAGGATTTTTATTTAGGGTTAAAAGATGAATAGATGGATGGATGCAATGGATGATAAGTGTCGCACAAAGATGAAACAAAATAGCATTCTCTCTAAAGTCTTCAAATACCTCTCAGAGATTTGTGTGTTCACTGTTATTTTCTCAGTGCTGTTGTCTTAAAGTAAAAAAGAGAAATACAGATGAAGAAAAGAACAGAAGAAAGGGTACATAGAAAAAAGAACAAGGATCTGGCAGAGAGAGTGAGAGGAGGGATGCGACACCAGGAGAGATCCAAACAAATGCCTTGCTGTGTTTCCAAGGGATCTAAAAATGATGTGTCAACAACATATAATAGGATCTACTGGAATTTGTAGCAGAGAGAGAAAGCAAAAACACTTGCTAACAACAAAAATGGCATGTGATTGTAATGCTGTTTAAACTTTGATGTTTCAACTATCAGTACAAATTGTTTTTAATTACTTTTCCTGCAGAAATAGTGCAGGTAGAAATGTATCCATCACTTATGTGCAAAATGCAACCTTGTTATCCCCAATGAAACACAAATTCTTTAAAATCAGCGGGATTATTAATGAAACAAAAAGGCCTTTAGTTTTTCATATTTAGACACATGGAGCTTTAAGGATTTCTAAAATGATTTTTTTTTTTTTTTTACCAGAGAACATACCATTAGTGTGTTGCAGTCTCTTTTTAAGGTTTGGTATTTTTGGATTAATCAGAAACTCAACAATATAGGCACCTACTTGATAAAAGAATATGACCTTAAGTTTTTTTTCTCTTTTTTATTCAACTTGAAGTGCATTCAAAGTGCTTTGGGTCATAGGATGTACAGTAAGGAAAATAAGTATTTGAACATCCTGCTATTTTGCAAGTTCTTCCACTTAGAAATCATGAAGAGGTCTAAAATTGTCAAATAGACAAATCCAAAAAAAGAAATCATAATATATATATATATTTTTACTATTTATTTGTATGATACAGCTGCAAATATGTATTTAATCACCTGAGAAAATCCATGTTAATATTAAGTACAGACCACACCAGGTGAGATCTAGCATGGAGCCCCAGTCCGAGGGAGACTGACAGTCATGTTAAGCTTCTTCCATTTTCTAATAATTGTTACACCAGTGGACCTTTTTTCTACCTTTTTTCACCAAACTGCTTAGCAATTTCCCCATAGCCTTTTCCAGCCTTGTGCAGGCATATGTTTTTGTCTATAGTGTCTTTTGGACAGCTTTTTGATCTTTACCATGTTAGTAGTTGGATTCTTACTGATTGTATGGAGTTGACAGGTGTCTTTATGCAGCTAACGACCTGAAACAGGTGCATCTGATTTAGGATAATAAATAGAGAAGAGGAGGACATTTTGAAGACAAGCTAACAGGTCTTTAGGATCAGAATTCTGGCTAATAGGTGTTCAAATACTTATTTGCCGCTGTATCATACAAATACATAGTTAGAAAATCATATATTGTGATTTCTGGAATTTTTTTTAGATTATGTCTCTCACAGTGAACATGCACCTATGATGACAATTTCAGGCCCGTCCATGATTTCTAAGTGGGAGAACTTGAAAAATAGCATTCCTCATTATATTATATTTTATATATATATATATATATATATATCACTTTGGATCGACCTTGTGAATAAAAGGTGCAAAATAAATGTATGCTTCTGAATAAATAAGCTCAAACTTTGTACCTCAATGTTTTTTTTAATACTTTTTTTCTTATTTGTACATTATAATGTGAACCAGCAGCATCGGTTATTACTTCAGAGTAGCCTGAACCTAAAGGGAGCAGAAGTTTCATTGACACATTTTAATGATTTCACTACAAATGCTTGAACACGTGTGCACTCCACTTCGCCTGAATAATTGAGGAGGAATTTTCCCTCCTCACTGCAACTTGAACTCAGCTCAGCTCATTATGCCTAAAAGCAAAGCCAGAATGTTTTGAGTAGTTTGCCGTTCCATCTGCCAAATTTCATGCTTCATATTAGTAACTGCAGTCACTGAACTATGACCTTGATGTGCAGGGCAGTCTGAAAATAAATAAAAATCATATGTCCTTTTCACTCCTGCATGGAGCCTCAATTATTGAATAAATGCAATAAATGTGAGCAACCTGCAGACCCAAGTTCATCCATATATGTCTGCCCAGTGATTTGTAAATGAATATCATACTTTTTGTTCCAAAAATCTCTATTTTACTCTTCTTCATGTTTTATCGACTTTTGTTTACCTGTCAGGATAATTAAAGTTTTTTCCAGCTTCCTCACATCCTGTTTTAGACCATTAGGGACCAATTAGCAGAGCTGTGGTGAATCTCTACCACCATTCTCTTCCTCTGTATGCAAAACAGGGCTTAGATCTGGACAGCTCAAACCAGAACTTATTGCTTCAATAGTTTTGGGATTAAAATGTGCAATAATCTTCCTTAAGTTTAATACTGTCAAATCTATGGATAATATAAATGCTGCAGTAGAAGAATCCTGGAATATTTAAATATAACTTTAACTGTTTGCAATATTTGTCACAGGTTATCATTCCCCGCTGTGATAAATCAAAGAACGACTAAACACTTTGCAGAACACCTTTAGGTCCCTGCATAGGATCCTGTTCCATCTCCAAACTGGTACGAACAAAGATTGATCTCTTTCATTCTTTTGGTCACAAATGTTACATAAATGCTAATTTTATAAGCTTATATCTGAGATGGAAATGTTACTCTCATAGCTTCTACTTGGGTGGCCAGTGTTTTATAACCCGACAAAGTTTGGACTCACCATCTTGGCATTCTCACCCTTTGCCAAACTTTTGCTGCATTTTTTAACAACTTAAATGTCTTTAAATGATATTTTACCTCTAAATTTGTAAAAGATTCTGCTTAAGAGATACAAAGTATGGCAAACAGTAAGAGGAAAGCTGGGGAATTTATTCATTTTGTGTCCAATCCGAATTTTTTTTTTTTTTTTTTTTAATGAAACTGTTGAATAAGCATGCTTTAAAAGCAAAGTGCTTTGGCATTTAAAAGGTTTGAGGGGCTACATACAGATTCCATTAATTTGGTGATAGAAATGAAATTCAGGCAACAGAGACGTGAAATCAGAGGCTGCTGAATCTATATCCTTATAGAAAGATCTCTTAAAAATTATGTTCATCATCCTTTGATACAACTGAGCACCAACCAACTCTGAGAGGTCAAAGAAAAAGTTCAAGTAGTTAAACAAGTTGTGCTATAAATCAATAAATCCATGTTTTCAAAACTGCTTTGTTGAACACAGCGTGGAATCCATCATTCATTCTGGCAGCATGTTACCGCTGAAGGTTGTGTGTTCATTTTTTTTCATTGGGTTCAGCTGCTGAGCTCTTACCTTAGTATGTGCAATGAGCAAACAGTTGGAGTGCTCATGCTCACAGGCAATCTCATACTGAGGTAGCATGTCAGCCAGCTGTTGGACGAAGGCGACCACTTCCTGATGCCAGGGAACATTGGCCATGGTCAGACTGCTGGCAGAGCTCTCCCCGCAGTACGTCACACCCTGCAAAAGGACAAGGACGTGGTCATAAATAAAGAACAGAGAAAGGCTTCTAATCAACGGTATTCCGATAATGCAAGTGGGAACAGAATATAAATTTAGAACGATAAAAGGAATTAATTAACATACTAATTAGAATGAATCAATCTAAAGTTAGAATAGTTCCATCAAACTAATTTAATCAGGCTTCAAAACAAAGAATCTGTAGAAATACAGTTTCTCAAAGCATATACTTCTGCTTAGTTAGCTAAGGTATTAAAAATGGCTTCTGTTTAGCTTCGTTTAACATAAGAAGCACCTAAGCGTAAACTGAGTTTAGGAAAACAGCTCTGCTTTAATGTTAAAGCAGCCCCTGTATAACCCTCTTATACCCTGTAACCCTGTCCTTAAAACAAAGGAATGGCAGCTACAGTTTTAAGCTAAATTTGAAATGTGTTAAATCAAGCATATAAACCATAATTTAAAGTTAAATCACATTTAAAGCAGTTAAACATTTCAGAAAATTCAAGAAGAATAATATATATGGAAAAAAGGTTTTCTTTGTTATCATTGGTGTTGACACATTGGAAATTAAAACAGCGTATTTCAAGTTCACAATACAATGTATTGTGAACTTGAAATGTTTAGATTAGAGCAAAAGCAAATAATTAGGCCAACAAATAGTTATTATTTAGCAAATTGATTAATCTGTTGATTATTTCTTCGATTAATAATTGATAGCCAAAGGTTCCTTACAGAAGTATTTTTTTTTTTTTACGAAATTAAGCCAAGTGAAACTAAAACTTTTCCACTTGAGGAGTTCTGGAGAGAGCATATAGTCAGAGGAAAGCATTTTATTTTATCTTATATGCAAAATTTTTCTATATTTGTTTAGTGTTGCACTGATGCCAATATCGGCCAGGGCCCTGATCCAGCACTAAAATGGAGGTATCGATATCAACAAGTACCAACATATAGGGCATTGATACCTTTTTTAGAGCCAAAAGTTTATTCAACTATTGTCACCCATCCCAGGTAGGAAATAAAAAGTTCTACTGGATTCACTTTGTGCTAGTCTTTTTCCTGCTTCACAAAGGTAGGCAGCAGCTTGACAAAGCCATGATGGCAATTATTTTACATCCAAGTAGTATGCAGTTCTATATATATATGCACACACATAAATTTCAAACGGATTGTATAGGTATCGGCCGATATTTCACAGCCGGGTATCAGGTATCGTATGGGGGCCAAACAAATGGCATTGGCGCAACACTAATATTTCTTTGACAATTTTGGTATAAGTACTGCTCTAAGTGGGTTGCTGTGTCATGTAATGGCATGTTTTAGAGTCTCTATACTCCAGTTAATGATTAATCTATTACTAAACTAGTTGACGGTAATTTTAAAAATCGATTAATCATGATTAATCCGATTAATTGTTTCAGCGCTACAAATAATGCTAAGATTAAGGGACAAACTACTGTATAAATTTGAACTAATAAGAGAAGATAAAGTGAACTGAAAACCTCAGTGACTATAGACGTAGAAACAGGTGTTTTTTACTCGATAAGGAAAATATTCCCTTTGTTTTAAATCATGAGAAATTCAATTAAATTTCAGGACAGACTTTTGAAATGTTGCTTGATATCACATAAATGATCTAGCAGCACATTCTTAATATTTTTGCTTACTCAACATATAATGTTTAACTCAAAACAACAAAGCATTAAATAATAGATCTTTTATTTAAAAGACAATCAATCATGCTTCTCAAGGGCAAGAATATTCACAGAAAAAAATTAGACGTTACAGAGCCTATGCAGTATTTAAAGGATATGTTTTAAGGTGGAATTTTAAATAGAGGATTGAATCAGTATTCCAGTTGCTGATTCCCGAACTGGGAGCAGAAGAAGAGAAAGTTCTGGTCACCACAGAGCTGAGGTGGACAGAAAGGACAGAGCGGCAACTGGAACAGAAAGAGCTGAGGGACCAAGAGGGTTTAAACAAATAAAGAGGGGAAAGGTTGTGGATGGCCAAAAGTAAGGATACGTGATGATGTGGGCCCTTTAGAGGAGAACATAGAGAAGATAATCACTGTATTCACTGTATTCAAAACAGGAGGTGACCAATCCATGAGTTAGGACAGGAGTTGAGGGGAGACTTGGGGAAATAGTGAGACGGTTTTTGGTGCGTAGATGGAAATAAAAAGATCTAATTTTGTTATCAATGCGGAGGTGAAAAAAGAGGAACGCTATCAAGGATGAATCTAAGACTCTTTATCTGAAGGTATGGGAGATTAAGGAGTCATCAATGTTCAATGAAAGTTTTTTCATTTTAGAGAGGGTTGAATTGTTGCCAATTAGATGGATGTGTGTTTTATCTGAATTAAGCTTAAGAACGGTTGTTGTGATTCATGAGTTGATAGCAGAGAGCGGTGAAGAGAGATGACAGGGAAATGATTTGCAGGAGAGGTAGAGGTGGGTTTCATCCAACTAGCAGTGGAACGAGATATTGAAAAGATGAAGAATAGAATCGTGAAGGAAATGGGGCAGATCCAGGGATGAAGCCTGAGAGACCAAAGGTGCCAAAGGTGACAGGAGAGGGGCTGGGATGGAAGGTTTATAGGCGATTAAACAGAGTGCGGTCAGGCAGAAAAGGTAAAATCTGTAACAAGAATAGAAGAGTTCTTGGAGGATGACAGAGCGAGAGATGGTGTAGAAAAAAGAGTCAGTTCTGGATTGAATTATGCTTTACCCATACATGTACATATAGATAGCTGATATTATACTATAAAAAGTTTATGGTATTAAAAAAAAACATACAAAAATAAATCTTATCAAGGCTAATTTCAACACAGTCCCACAACAACCAGATAAGAAAGTTTTGTTTTGCCGCACAGTACATTAATACACATTGAAACCTTAAATGCAAAAAAACGACACCCCACCTTCTAAAGCCAGTACTTTGTAGAAAGAGATTTTGCAATTAGAGCTGAAGCGGGCTGAAAAAGTTTTAATAAGCTTGTCATATCTTGCCATCAAGAGATTTTCAGTTCTGACCATAAACTCGCAATTCGATTGAGGTACTTTAACTACCCTTTCCAACACACTTAAATGTTTCCCCTTAAACAGTGTTGGGCACGTTACTTTGAAAAAGTAGGTTGAAAAGGCAGAGTATCTATCTATCCATCTATCCATCCATCCATCCATCTATCTATCAATCTATCCATCAATCCATCCATCCATCCATCCATCCATCCATCCATCCATCCATCCCCCTTTCTCCATATAGACAATCATTTGATCGTTCACGCTCACCGTAGTCCCCATGTGGCGCGAGCACAGGGCGACTGTTGCGCGCCTTTAGCGAGCATGCGCGTTTCCTGTCGCTTGCGCGGTGAATCGTGCCGCCTGCGCTGTGCGGAGATGCAGGGGAAACCGTATGTGATGAGGAAACGCAGCTTGACGTAACACCGGTATTTCCATCTGGAAAACGCTGTTTTGCTGTTGGAGTCATCCTCACTCTCCATCTCTCTGTGTGTGCTGTACGTTAACACCCACCAGCAGAAACACCCACCTACCCAACTGACAGACGGAATCTCACTATACATCAGCCATTCTCATCCTCCCCTCTCTCATGACAAGGCGCGCACGAGTCCTATCATGAAAAAAGGTTCATTGTGCGACCTGAGTAACGCGCAGTAACGGGGTGTCTGCAATGGTAACTGTGTTATAGTTACAGTCAAAGTAATTAGTTAGATTACTCGTTACTAAAACAAGGTAACGGTGTTAGTAACGCCGTTACTTTCAACGCTGTTAGTCCCATCACTGCCCTTAAACAAATTCAATGCTGCTTGAGTCATCTCGCTGCTAAAAGGTCAATCTATATCCCAGATAGACTGACACAGGTTTGTTAAAAAAAATAAAATAATTGTTTGTAACTGATATTTCTCTCAATTTGGGCCAGCTTATCGGTCCATACTGATGAAACAAATTCAAACAGCATGATCCTGTCACTACAATGTTTTCTTGTGGGGATGTTGACCCTGGTATGATAGAAAGTGTTTGGTTTGTGTCAGACATAGTGTTCTCCCGAAAATCTAATCTAAGTCTTATTTGATCATAGAACTTTTCTCCATAAATTTAGAGATTTTTCCACATGTTTTTTTGGTAAACTGAGGATATTACTTCTTACTGTTTACACTAAGTGTCCTGACCACTTCTCAATAGATCCAGCTCTAAGGATTGTTTGGCTTAATGTGGTCCAATGGGCAAACATTCTAGTTGTCGTGGTGGAAATCTGCACCCCGCCTTCATGGCTGTCTCTGTTCTCTGTGCAGCCTTTATTATGAATTCCCTCCTTGCATGGTCCATGAGTTTTGGTGGATGGCCTTCTCTAAGCAGGTCTGTTTTAGTACCATGTGCATTACATTTGAAGCTGATGGATTGGATGGCTCTCTGAGTGAACATCACAGATTTAAATATTTTCATAACCCAGCCCTGACTTATTAACTACTAAGTCCTTGACTTGATAGTAGAGCTCCTTGGTCCTTATGACTTGTGGTGCTGCTCCCTATCTGACATTTCAGGTGTTCATGTAAAACTTAAGCCTACAGTCACTGATATGACTATCCATCTGTGTTTGGAAAATTTTGTTTCTCTTATTTCATATATTAATTTATCTTATTTGACTCACTATAAAAGTTTTCACTCCGTCTGTTTCATATGGAGCCCCTAAAGGGACATGAAGGAAAAAATTTACTTTTGCCAGATCCCGCAATACTTTTGCAAGATCTCGCAAAACGTTTAGTGAAATGTCGCAAAAGGTTTTCCCATGTCAGCGAACCGGAAGTACAACAGACACACAACAGTGGTAGCGCAAAGTGTACTGCTATGGAAGGATAATACGCCCATGTGTCAGCTACAACCATGGAGGATGATTTGGAGAGGTTCTTAATTTCTAGAGAAGTCCCAAAAGAAGACATTACACGAATGAAGAGAGACAATGTCAGTATGCAATTTTTT